GCTTTCAACAGCCTCGAAAGGCTCGTCTGACGGCGGCCGAACTGCACGGCCTGCCTCGGCCCGACCGGTTGCGAGTCCTGCATTTGGGCCTGCACACCTGCAACTGTTCATCCACGCGAAAAGAGCTCGCCTGGCTGGTGGATCACGCGAGGCTGGATCGGCTCTCCGGCTACCTCTACTGCGATCTGCTCAGCCTGCCTCGGGTCCTACCTGTCGAGGCTGGCGAGCGTCTTTTGGGCAATTTGGAGGCTCGAGTCGGTGATGCCGTCCTCGAGAGGACGAGTGAAACCGCCGAGTTGGTGGACATTCGTGCGATAAAAACGAATCTGAAGCGAATAAGACCGCCCACCAGATGGCATATGAGAGTCAGCTTTCCTCTCTTCTTCTTCTATCGCCTCTTAGAGACAGCCTGTGACGCCGCCACAGAGTTGGCAAGCCCTATAACATTTCAGCATAAAGCTGACATGTCCGACAATACAACAAAGTCAGCTGAAAAGTCGGAAGATAAGCCTTTACGAGAGCAAATAAAGGCCCACCATGAGAAACCCACTGGCCAGGAGACAAACGATGAAACCAGTCAACTGACTGGGCCCAAGAAAGCAGGCAAAGAGAAGAGTTCAATGGAAGAAAACATCGCCCAGTTCGTGAATGCAGAAATGGGTAGACCAGAAAAGCTATCGAGCAGACGAGAATTGCATCAGTCGCAGAGTGTGGCCCATCTAGCCAGCCATGGCTGTTCGCTGTTGACGAGTATCGTCCAGACAGACCGCATGTACCTAACTTTCTCATGTATCACCTTTTGTATACTCATAGCTCTATTTTCTACTATTTGTTAAAAGATGAGAAATTGGATAAAAAGCTTTTTTTTAGCCAATGTGGCCAAAACTGATCAACAGTTTTTGAAAATTCACTCGTTCCACATTACGTTGAACAGCCAAAAAAGGTGAACAGAGAAGCTCGAGCCATCGGCCCAAAATAGCACAAAAAACAATAAAGAGGACTGATAGTGGACAGAGGAAAAGGTGAACAGGAGAAAAATAAATCCAGCAAGATATTCGAGCTACAGTAAAAAAATCGAGATTCTTCGTCCACGAATCAACCAACAACGAATACAAAAATAACTTTTCAACCGACCTCCAATGCAAATGGTAATAGAATAGGTTTTGACGTTGAAAATGCACAAAAATAGTGACTTTAACGTTACCATAACATCAGCTCAAAGTTGGAGTGGGTTAATACTAGCAAAAAAAGACCTCAGTAAAACAAATTGAAAAGGAATTCATAGCATTTGCCAATCGGTGAATATTGTCTCGAGTTAACAACGATTACATTTCTAGAAAAGGAGTAGGCGAAAAGCTTGTTATATTTTTAAGGCTGGAAAAAATACGACGATACAGGATGGGGAACTTGATGCTGACGAAATACTAGCCCAACATCGAATAGGCTATGCCTAGTCTCAACGACTAAAATAAAGCATCAAAGCAATCACACAGTCTTAATAATTTTCCAGTCAATAGAAGAGCGTTATAGAGACATCCATTTCGTATGAAAGTTCATGATTAAGAGATTGGTAGGACAATCTCACCAGAAGATGACGGCCGATTCTTGTTGTACCGCAGCCGTCTAACATTAAACGATGCTCCAGTTGACGCAATGCATCAGATATCCTCACTCTTTTTGCGCGAAAATGGACTGAACTTTGCTCATCCTGCCACTGGACGAAGAGCATAAAAGCCGGGACTCATTCATACAAAGGCCTCAAGTTTACACTAAGTCAAGAAGACTGATCAGCTCCTTCCTAATTGATGTATATACTAATAACAAGAATAAAACTTTTAGATATCTAAGGATATAGAGAGATCTAGTAAATTTTCGTATACTCATCTCAAATACTGCGTCAACCTGAGCATCGTATTAAAGACAAACGGCTACGATAGAACGAAAATAGACCGTCGTCTTCTGGCGAGATCGACCTACAAATCTGTCCATCGCATACATTCTCATACGAAATGGAAGCCTCCACAACAATGTTATCTCAGGAGATTCATCAAAACCCGCTTTTGCAACCCTTCTCATTGACATGTTTTGCTTTGAACACGGCAGCTCAAGGCTTGAATCTAGCAGAGAACGCAAAAGAGACTTGATTGAGGTTGAAAGTGAACACTCTTATCAATGCCTGCAACAACAAACGGTAACTGCTGCTCAAAGGTTTAAAGTTGCAAAGTTACTTAAAGAAGCCGATATCGATGCAAAGAAGTTGAGTAATGCACTGAAATGGAGACAGCCCTTAAAAAGACCCAACAAGGACACTTTATGGACAAGGTATGGTTAGGAAAAAGAAGACAAGGTTCAAGGATACTGTTGGACTGTAATCGAAGCTAAAGACGATACACAGTGAAGAGTTTGCTTGACTTCGGGATTACAAACTGATCCGGATGACAAGGGTACCTTGTTGAATGTGTCCAGTCCTGTATCCCTACCCATTGGAGTGGTAAATTCCCAAGCGCTTCGCCGACATCGTCAGTGGATGGCGTCATCTTGAGGACTAATTAACAACTAAGCAAAGTGGCAAGTTGAAACTAAGTGCCACGAATGGCCCATCTCGCTGGCAATACCGACTAGTAACACCATCTGGGCATGCTGCAAGTCCACGATCCGATGCTGGAAATAATAATGACTAGTATAGCAGAAGATGCAGGAGTGGGTAGATTCTATAAAGTATCCATATCACCCTAACTAAGTTGCAAAAAAACGAGATCAAATGCAACCCGACCTAAGGCCTGGCCCTGGACAAAAATAGTCACAAGTAATAAATGTATAAAAATAATAACTGATGTCCATTAATGCAA